ATGTGTAAAGGAAAAAAAAACATGTGAGATGACAAGAAGGCAGCCATCTTGGTGCTTAATGACACGGGATACAGTGGCTAACTATTTCTAGCAAAATAGCGTCTAGTACAAAGATGACAATGCTGTATGGCTCCACGAAGAACCACCAAGGAAGTGGCGAGGGTAACGACATCAAGAGTAACTATCTGGTTAAGCAGAGTTGTTTAAGGCCACATACATTAACTTTGTTTGAGTTATAACACAACAAGAGTAGACCCGAAATCCTCTATTTTTATGTGCATTTCAGAAGTCAGCCTCAAAGTTAAGCTTTTTAATCCAGTTGACAAATGTTCCAACCAGACTTACCTGCATCAGTCTTATCCATCCTTGTTATTATTTTTGTTGTAAATAAAACTGGGTTTTAGTGGTATTTTTTTCTGGTCATAGAGAGATGGTCAGCCCACCTGCAGATCTTCTGTTGTTGCTGTTTTAATCACTAGTAAAAGTCATCAAAGTGGACAGTCAGGGTGGACATTTTCAACGGGAAATGCACTGTGAAGGCCAGTTTAAGAAAGTTAAATCAAAGCAGAGCGTCCTGCTGAGAAAAACAGCATTCTCCGTGACAAATATTGTCCTTGCAATGCCCAGTGTGTTTGGAGGCTTGTTGGAAAGCAAAAATGAAACTAAACACACCGGAAATTGTCCCAGAACTTTGCTACCAAACTCAAACTGGTCGGGTCACATTACAAACATGTCAGGTTAGTCATGGAAAGCTTTGGATTTTACTCTAACTGCTTTCTGTTAATAAAACTGCCATTAGCCGAATGAGTGTACAACCACAAAGTGTTAACTCGTGTGGTAAAGTAATGGAGAAAGCACTGTTAAAGTTGTTTCCAGTGACGGCTACCTGGGTTGGCATGGGAAGTCCGGGAAGTGTTTCTGGCAGAGCTGCGGAATCTTCAGATCTCAGTAATAAAACTGCTGAGTATAAATGTCATCATAACATTGGAAATGATGGCTGAAAGTACAAACACGAGAGCCCGATGGTGAGAAATAAATTCTTCTTTAATGCACACTCCCCCCTTACCGTTTTAGATGTTTCGCCACATGATGCTTCTCTCAGAAACTGTGCAATGATTCATGTTTTCTCAGACAATAGATACAATACCAATCAAACCCTGGAACTGCTTTTGGGCATTTTCACTTAAATGTGTTTGGCTCTGTCTTAAGTTGAGTTCGTAGTGTGAGAAGAATGAGTGTTATTTTCTAAAACACCCTTTGGTTATTCCATTTGTCAGGCTTTCAGCGGCGTGCTGCAAATGCTGTTAAGCTCTGTTTGATCTGGCAGCCAGCTGGTAGACACTGACAAAGGACTGTTAGAGCTGATTACCTTCAAACTGGCACGTCAAGCTAGACCCTCCAAATCAGAGAAAATATATTTCATAGCAGGGTACGTCAGAATTAGCTGAAGATGTGTTACCAGAAAGAAAGAAAGAAAAAAAAAAAAACACCTTCGGCTCAGCTGCGTAGCTTTAATGTTGACAGATTAACAGCTTTTTTTTTTTCTTCAGTCAAAGGCATATGGCTCCTGGAGGTCCTTGGAGTTTTTATCTCTGATAAAGGTATATTATGCTTTTGGCTGACTGTGTGCCAGAGATAGAAAATAAAAGCGAAAACAGCTTAATAGGCCATTTTTCTTTGCTTTCTTGATGTGTCCTTGTAAAGAGACTATTAACTTGTCTTCAGAGACAAATTACAATACTGATAAACTGAGCATGTTTGTTGATCCAACTGATCTCAAAGAGCCATAAAGGAAGCCAGAAGGCGTAAGGTTTCTTTGTAATAGCCAAACAAGCATCAGATAACATCACATACCGCCATTAAGGTGAGGTGGATCCATCATACAGTGCATTCCGTTCCACATTAGCACATTGTCTTGCTATGATGTCCTCCCTTCAGTGAGCCCAACGATGATATTTGTAATGGTAAGAGAAAGGCAGCATGGGAATAAGTCCAAGGAACCAACTGAAGGTGAAATTGGACATTTCTCATGGGCAATAAAAATGTTGCCATAGCACAAATCTGAACCTCTGAGAAAGTCAACAGTACTTTAAAATAAATGACAAAGAGGCAAAAAAAAAAAAAAAAAGGTCAAACTGTTTCCTTGGAAGCCTGTTTCCTCCATAATACTTAATTAAAGCTTACGTCTCATTGTCTCAATGTTATGAAAAGTGCTTCAGGCTTTTTTTTTTTCTTAATTTCTTGTGACTTTAATCTGTCCCCAGTGCAGCACCAGATGAAGACATCATGAAAATAGAAGCCTTTTGATTTTACATTGAATTCAAATAACACTTGCAGGACTTGTTATACTCTGCAGCCGACCCATGTGACCTCATATAGCAGTGGAATGTGCTTGAATTCATTCCCTGAAGAATGCGTGATGAGACAGATACACCGAGATTCTCTCAAAGAACATTTTGTGTGTCATTTGAAGTGGAATGGATGTTAACTTTTTTGCTCACTACCAGGTGCAACATTTCCTTATGAGGAGCTTCAGTCTCAGTGTTACAACAGAGCACATTAATGCACCACATTAGTGATCAAAATGACTTCAGAAATGAACAATCTCATCTGAATGTGTACTTTATCGCAAATGTTAAAGTCCACTTGATCTTGAAGACTAACCTGCAGGTGGGTGATTCCAAAACGATATTTCAAACTGTTTACCTTGAATAAAATATTTAAGACGATTGGGTTCCATTGGGGATTTCTATCCAACAATTTACTGTTGCCTATCTGGACTTAGGTCATGGTGGCAGGTGTTCCAGATATCCCTCTCCCCACCAATGTTTTCCACTCTCTCCAAGCAGTTTCTAAGGTGTTCCTCATCCAGATAAGATATGCAATCCCTCCAATCCCCATCGAGGCAAAGTAGCAGCAAATCCATTCTGAGGTCTCTCCAAATGTCCAAAAACCTTATGTGTTGTTATACATGTTGCGAGCCCCACTGGACTCTGTTAGCAGGCAGAATGTTGTCATCAGTTGATCTGTTTTGTCATGCTCAGTACCAATGTCTTAAACCTACTTTTCCAGATTCTCTTAATTATTAAGGTCTGGTATGATAGCATGATTAAACACTTAACCAATCACTTTGGGTTACATATAAGGAAGTTCATACTATTCAGCCTTAAAACTATTTTTAATATAATCTATACTTAGATGATCTTTTGGGGTGAGAATTTTGAAAAAAAGATAAAACAAAAAAAACAAAAGGGAATAATTCTCCAGGCAGTTCAGGCCTAGCAAAAGAAGTTGCCAAGGTAGGGTTTGACCAATACAAAGAACTAAAGTTGCAGTGACATTCTTGCAGGTAAACTGCTTTGCATGCATCCTCTTCACAGCAGAGCAAATTTATGGTGCAAGCTGTGATAGTTGGTAACCATGATGACACTGTAGCCATGTCGTGATAGTTTGGACCATGTCATGATAGTCAGTAACCATGTTGTGATAGTTGGTAACTGCAGCCTTGCTGCAATAGTCAATAGATTTAGGATTCAATTCAAGATTCAAGATCAACTTTATTGTCCCAGGTGTGGGAAATTTGTCTTGGGCAGCC